CCGGGGGTTTCCTCTCCCGAGCCGCATCACTGCAGAGCTCCGCGGTCGGTCCCTGACTTGTGCCTGCTGGCCTCGGCGTAGCTCACCGGCAGCACCAGCGCCAGGGTCTCCACGCCAGAAGTGCTTCTCCCAAGCAAACTCCTTCATGGGCAAGGGACAAACATTTGTCACCAGCAAACACCACGAGGGCTACCCCAAAGCTGTTGCGTTTCTAGTCTGCACTGAGCGACAGCGCCCCGAGTGGCACCCAGCCAGATCCCGGCACGCTCTGTCCTGCCCTGCGTCTCTCCCAGTGCCACCGCAGAGACGGTCCCTGGCGCAGCTTGGACGCTGCAGGGCCAGCGGGAGCCTCACAGCCCACGCGTGAATCCCTCCGGGGTTTCACATTGTTCCGCGCTTCTCCTGTGCATTATCGCTTTTTATCATGCTGGGAAAGCAGATCGCACAAATCTGCCCAAAACCTAGAGACAAGTGAAGTGAGATAGGTCCCTGCTTGAAAGGCAAAGACCAGGGAATTGGTAGAAGTAATAGGATTTAAAAGGAGACAAAGCCATTCCTTGGGAACAGTGGTATGTTAGTGCTGTCTTGTTTAATGAGATTCAGATTCAAGGTTTGGCTGACTCATGATCTTTAATAAACTCCAACCTTCGTGAGCAAAGAGGTTAGTTCTGGTGTCAGTTCCAGCTGGGAAAATTGCTCCGCCTGTGTATTTTCCTTTGCAGGCACAGCTAAATACTCCTTCACTTGCGTGGTTACTGTGTTGTGCTCCGGAAGTGGCTGCGTTTCATTGCTCATAATTTTATCCTGTGGACTGCTAAGCAATTTGAGGTTGAAAACCCCCATCATTGATGGAAATTTTAGCTATTACAACTACAAACCAGGACCAAAGAACATTTCCTTGCTGAACAAAGGCTGCTGTCTGCATACGCGCCGTGAAGTATGGTAAATGCTAACGCATGGTAGGCTTGCGTTAAGAACCACTACCTCTTACTGTGTTGCTCTCATTTTAATGAGCGCTGACACACCATCCCTGCGCCCTGCACCGGGGCAGCACCTGCTGCCTGCGCCGCCGAGGCCTGGAAAGCAAAACCCCCGTGGAAACTCCCAAGCCCCATTTCCAGCAGCTGCACTGGCGTTAGTTAGAAAGGACCCAGCTTCCCTGGGACTCGGCTGCACGTGTTGGAGCTGCGACTTGGGAGGCCTGCTGGAGAGCGGGCACGGCGACAAGAATTAAAGCCACCCTTTAATTCTTGAAACCAGAGAGCAAGGGCCTGCTCTCATGCTGCCAATGCACAAATGCAGGAGCAACACAGCAGCGGTTCAAACTCTTCCAACCAGAACTGCTGATAGAAACAGTTTTGCTGTTTAGCCCAGGAATGAAACGGGACCCTTCTGGCTTCCTCTCACCTATCAGGCTGCCCTCAAGTACCAACAGAGTTTGTTATGCTACGGCTGGTAAAAATTACAAATGTTTTCTTCAGTTATTTGTGCACAGCGGCTGAGGCCTTTGCTCCAGCTGCTCTCCCATCACGCTACTCCCGCCTCCCTTCTGGGCATTTCTCTTCTAGGCAAGTCCGAGTCCTGCCCTCTGCCACGAGGGCAAGGATACGCGTGGGGACAAAAGCAGCAGCTGCAGGACAGCTCTTTAATTTAGCAGACAAACAAGAAGATACAGTAGTTGGAGGGGAAGTGAGACCAATTCAGACTGGAAATAAAATTAGTGTTTTCAATACCAATGCTAATTAACAACTGGCACCACCTACGGAGCAGTGAGGAAAGCTCTCTCACTCAATAGGTTTAAAATCAAGTGCCTCTCTAGAAACATGTGCTTCAGTTCAGCAAGACGAAGAACCCACCTCGATGCAGACCTACAGGGTTAAACTCTTACAGTCCACAAATATTCAGGAAATCAAAATTGTACTGGATGACCATGACGTGCTCTTTATGGCACTCGGAAGTGATTACACCTTATGTGACCTGCCTGGAGCTCGCATCCCACCTCCTCCGCGTTCTCATCACCTCCTGTAACGGCTTGCTAACCAGATGGGGTAGTGCTGTCTGCGTCAGACAAGGCTTTGGAAGCCCACATTCGAAAATAATGGCAAACAGTCATTTCCTCTGTTT